GTTCTCTGTGTGCCTGGGGGCAGGGCTCAGCTCTCCAGGGCCCAGAGTATTTTCTTCCCACGCTCCAGTGGTTGGGAGGCTGGTAGTGCTCTAAGTTTTTTTCAGCCGCATGGCCAGGGAGGCAGAGACACCTCAGTGGCCTGAGTCCCACATGCAGGCACCACAGGGACTTGTGACCACACCCAAGTTGGCCTCTCCTTACATTCAAACCTTAGTGATCCCTCTTGACCTTCCCAAACCTTCGATTCCAAGAATCTCTGTTTAGAATGTTAGAAGGATTGATGTACCGTCCCCATGGCACTATGTGAGAAGGCATCGTTGCCGTTTTTGGCTCTAGGAAGTCCCTGGGAATAATGCACTCTCATATATGTACACATATACATAGTTGTTAATCCTCACCTGAGGATATTTTTCCATTGATTTTTAGATAGAGTGGAAGGGAGGGAGGGATAGAAAGAGAGAGAAACATGAATTGATTGCCTCTCGCATGACCCCTGACCGGGGCTGAGAATCAAACCTGCAACCCAGGTACGTGCCCTTGACTGGGAATCCAACCTGTGACGCTTCAGTCTGGGCCAGAGCTCCAGCTGCCGAGCCAAACCGGCCAGGGCCACGCTCATATTTAGAACTGTTGTGCAAACAGAAGTCTCTGCGCCCATTAGGATTTGCCCACGTATTCCAAGGGGTCTGGTAATTCTAGATTTTTCATCTCCATGGATGGTGACTTGCTTTGGGGGCTATCTTGTGTTTACATGTAGGCTGACTTTGGCACTGAGTCTTTCTCCTTTGTTTCTGACTAATGAGGAGAGAAGCAGACCTGCTATTTAGATGATGTGTCTCCGTCAAGCAGTAGTCGAATAGTGCCAGCTCCCTGTACACAGAAAGGCGTCCTAGTCAATGCACAGAGGAGTCCTCAGGGCATCGGCGGGCACTGACCCAGGGAAGCCACACCTCCGTGGGCAGTGCTGTGGCTTCTTAAAATGCAAGCAGAGATTTCATTTCATCCAAACATCATCTGTCACGTTAAATTCAGGTTATTAATTTCGGTGTCACTTGTTTTCAATTTGTATTGGGTTTATGTTGTAAATAAACTATAAGCATAGGGAGGATACCTTATTTTATAGTTTACATATTTAACTATACATAAATAGTGATAATATATTCAAATTAAATCAAAATTATTTAAATAACTATGGAGAGAGGTCTGAATAAGTTTTTGTTTCCCTTCAGAAACTATTAGTACATTTCTCAAGTTTGAAAAAACACTGTTCTGTAGCGGGGGTGGGGGGGGTCAGAATCAACAGGGAGAGGCTGACATTAGCACCCTTTTCATGTTTTCTTTCCAAAACTGCCCTTCCTCCTCTCCTCCTGCCTCTGCATTAACCCGGGCATGGCGGCAGTGACGAGAGTCATCATTTCTTACGGAGCTCTTAGAATAAGTTCACAAATAGGTCTGGATGGATGGATGGATGGATGGATGGATGGATGGACGGACGGATGGATGAATAAATGGTGAATGGAGGAGGGATGGAGATGACTTTCCTGAGCTTGAAATCTAAATGAAAGAGCCCCCTTGATATTATTTTTATAGCAGTACTTTTTCTTATGTAACACAGCAATTTTCAATGATATTTTGATTTAGTACATATCCTCCCCAACCCAGTGGACTGTACGTTCCCTGAGAGCAGGTGATGAATGAATGGCTTCCTACCCGGTAGAGCGCATCCCATTTAGAAGATATCCACTGTATCTACACTGAGTAATGAACAGAAGGGAACCTGAGGATTACATCTGCATCACTAAAATAGCTGTAAAGAGGGGTAAGAATTTTTCTAATCAATGGATTTCATTAATGGTTTCATTGGGAACAATCCAAAATAATGACATATTCCGAGAAGTAACATGTGGCCCTTGAGTCGAAGGAGAATCACCAACTGAAACGGCCTTTTATACAGCCTCAGAGACACAAACCAAGGATAAAACATTCACTAGCATCAGTATCAAAGTGCCTAGACAGGCTACAGATATTTTTAGCAAAATTCGGTTTTTACTTGGACAGGACAGCTCTTGAGATACATGTGATTCAGCAGTCAACACACCATTTGCTCAAAACAATAGGAGAGAAATATTTTATATCTATCTGACATAATTATTCTTTTTTTGTAATATGGAAGAGGTGGTCCCAGGATCATTTGGACACATTCCCTTCCTGTATGTCCAAACTTAAGCCCCTCTGATCTTAACACTGCTCTAAATCCCAGGAGTGATGGACAGAACAGCCAGCCAATCCAGGTGCCCATAATCAGGAGTGGGGCGTGAGCTAGTGTGCCAGGCTGCCACAGTGCCCAGCCAGTCCAGGGCTGTGGGGAATTTGCCAGCAGGATCAAGGCTACAATTCTAAACTAGCGGGAAACCGCAGGAGCTGAGGCTTGGGGTACTCTGCTGTGTGGTTGCCCTAAGCTCTCCCCAGCATAGCCCAGGCCCTGGGCCCTGGGGAGAGGAGACAGACCTCTCAAGTCCAGAGATCCCTAAAGACAGCACACCTCCCTGAACCCACGCTCAAGACGCTGGGCACGGAACAGGGAGACCCCCTATGTCCACCAGCTTGTCTAGAGTTGTCAGTTTCATCCAGGTCTAGAGGTAAGACCAGCCCCTTGATGGTTTTAGTTTGTAAGTATCACTCTCTATTGTACATCATCCTGAGGAGCATGCTCTTACTTGGTACTTTTGAATTTCGCTTTTAAAATGAGGAGGAGGATATGATTTATAATTATCAAAGAACTCAGAGAGAATTCATTCACGAGAAATGAACTCATTGGGATCACTAGTATCAGGCCACTTGGGATTTATTTTGTGTTAGTGGACTCTAAGGTAGTCCACACGGGAACACTCAGAGTCATTATTTAAAATAAGATTCCTGAGCTCAAACCTGGTGAATCAGGATTCATCAAGGGAGTGACTGGGACACGTGTCTATTTAACAAGTGTCCCGAGTGACTGTCATCAGGGGAGTCTTAGAAATTGCCCTACAGGCCCTGGCCGGTTTGGCTCAGCGGTTAGAGCGTCGACCTGTGGTCCTGAGAGACCCGGGTTCGGTTCCCGCTAAGGGCGCGTACCTCGGTTGCAGTTTGTCCCCGGCCCTGGTCGGTCGTGCGGGTGGCAGCCACTCGATGTGTTCCTTTCACATCGATGTTTCTCTCTCTCTCTCTGTTCCTCTCTCTCCCTCCCACTCTACCTGAACAAAAAAATGGGAAAATGTCCTCGGGTGAGGATAAAAAAAAAAAAAAATTGCCCTACAGAAATGATTCTTCATCAGAGACACACCTTCGGGTCACTGGAGAGGTCCTAGAATTTACGTGACGAGGCCTCTCAGAAGTGCTTCTAAGGGAGGGTGTAGCCTGGATGAGCATCTTTTGAAAATACTCACCGAGGGCTTCTCACCTGCACGTTGATGAAGTATCAGCCCTAGAGGAAACTTCATATGGATGTGAGGTGTGGAAATGAGGCGTAACGGAGCCCAGGCAGAAACACCGAAGAAGGAGGCGGTGGTGCCTACTTTTCTCTATCAGTAGCCAAACTTTTCAGAGCAGCAGACAGCAGGACCGACACGCTGGTGCACAGCGGGAGTTCTGAAATGCCCACTCCGTCCCCGGCAGGCAGACAGTGGACGAGTGACTCGGTCGGCTGGTGAGTCCGAAATCATTCATGCCGTCTGGATTTCTCAGAAAGTCCTTCTCCAGCCAGGAAGCACAATTTTCTAGGGTCCTAAAATTCCTGAGGTCCACTCACTGCTGTACCCATGTTACTGAATCATATGCCAACTGGCAGTTCTAGTCATTCACATATAAAGTATTGATTTTTAAAATAACATCTAAACACTAAGCTGTACATCCGAAACTAATATAAAATTGAGCATTGACTATAACTGAAAAAAAAATTAAAGTTAAAAAAATGATATTTATCCACCCAAGACCTGTGAACTCAAATATTAAGAGGCACAAAGAGAAATACTTTAGGTCCTCTAGGAGCCCCCAATGCCTGCGCATTCACAGGAATTACTGTCCGTACTAACCATTGAACCCAGGAAAACCCAACCACCTCTCCATTCAACTCAGTTCAGGGCGTAAACCAGTGAATTTCCATTGTGTGTCTATCTGCGTAATTCTCCCAGTGTTTTGATTTGCGCTGTGAATTTGGTTTGTAAGTAGTACTAGCTGTATAGGGCTGTTTGTACCAAACAGTAACAATGAACTAGGTGCTGTGTAAATAGAAAAATAAAACGAGGTAACACCATATTGTTTTCCATAGTGGCTGCACCAGTCTGCATTCCCACACCCAGTGATCCCACTTCTAGGAATATACCCTAAGAAGCCTGAAACACCAATCAGAAAGAATATATGTACCCCCATGTTTGGAGCAGCACTATTTACAATAGCTAAGATCTGGAAACAGCCCAAGTGTCCATTAGTAGACAAATGGATAAAAAAGCAGTGGTACATATACACAATGGAGTACTATGCAGCTGTAAGAAAGAGGGATCTCTTATCCTTTGAGACGACATGGAGGGACCTGGAAAGTATCATCCTAAGTGAAACAAGCCAAACAGAGAAAGGCAAGTATCATATGATCTCACTGATTTGTAGAATATAATGAACATAACAGTCTGAGGAAGGGGGTAGTCCCAGAGACGTGGAAGTGGGGTACAGACTGATAATCTCCTAAAGAGGGGGGTGGGGGTGGGGGCGAGATAAACCACAGAACTTATATGCATGTGTGCATGAACAGTGGACATGGACAACAAACTGGGGACAGGGCAGGGAGGGAGGGGGAGGAGGGAATCAGTGGGGGAAAAGGGAGAAACATCTGTAACAAAAAATTAATTTAAAAAAAGAAGAAAAAAAGAAAACGACACACTAAGATGCTGAAGATTGCATTTCAATTTAATTATTAATAAGCAGTACAATTTCAAGGTTTAAAATAAAAACAAATCAAAATGCTCTTTAGTGGGCATTGCTACCCTGCCCCCTTTATTTTTCTTTGTATCTTTACACGTTTTTACATACATACACATACACCATGTTACATATATTGGTCTGTGTCTTGCTTTTTTCCAGCTAATAAATCTTGGGGATTGTTTTTTGTATCAGTACATAGTTCCCTCTTTCTCTTTTGAGAGTCATGAAATCTAAATTTCCATTTGAGTATATGAAGCTCTGAATCAGTCTTTCAACTCTTTGACCAAGGCCCACCTGTAAATGTGAGTGTATGTGTGTATGTGTTTTGAAAAGGATACTGGGTGTATCCGTTCAGGGTCTCCAAAAAGCAGGTGCCAGGACAGAATTAGATATACAAACGAGTCACGGTGGGGGATGGGGGAGGCAGGCACAGGCAAAGGATAAAAGCCAAAAGAAGCAGGAGTAGTGGGGAGAACCTTTAGGTCACGGCACAGGTCAGACACCTGCAGAACGGGGAAGGAAGGAGGTGAGGTGGAGGAGCCTCAGGCTGCAGTGCAGCGAATAAATTTCAGCCAGGTCGACAGGGAGCACAGCACACATCAGCCTGCAGAGCAGGAATGGCCCGGAGTCTAGGTAGAGTGTGGCCTCGGCACTAACCCTGCCAGGTCCCAAAGGTGCAGCAGCTTGAGCCTGTTCCCCCATCTCCCTCCTCACAGCAAGTTCTCCGGAAGAGAGACCCGAGCAGGGCAGAGCCACGGCCAACACAATCTCCCCTTCCATTGCCAAGAGTGCCCCCCAACACATCTGGGGAGCAGCTCCTATCAACCTCTCTTCTTGAGGGAAAGCTTAGAAAAGGAAAGTTACTAAGCCAGCTAGGAACCCTGTCTCTGCAGTTGGTTGTGGGGCTGCAAATGCTGATCTTCTCCCTCTTCTTCTCTACATTCTACATTCCCCTCTCCCTAAGCTGTCAGAGCAGCAGGGCCATCGGGTGGCGTGACCCGGACCGTCACTCCAGCATGCCCTCCTCAGAGCGGGGCTGATGCTCTGTGCACGAGTTCACAGCTACCAGGGGTTCGTGGAGAACCAGGAAGCACCCGATGGGTCATCTGGGTTCTGGACAAGTTATTTCCTGTCCCCGTTGTCTAAAAGCCTCCTCTTGCTCACCAGGGTCAGTTATCCCTGCCAGTGGGGTGATTCTTCTCGTCTGCTAGTCCCTGAGCACAAGGAATCAATGGAACTGCCAGGCATCCACCAGAATTTGCAGTTCACCAGGGCTCTCACTTTGTCCTCTTGCAAGAGTGGGGTCCACTGGGAACCCTGAAGAGCCCAAAGCTGTGGGGATAGAAAGGAAAGAGCTGAGGTCATTTGGATGTGGTATTAAGTGGGGTGTTCTTGCTTCCACCAGTCTGTTCCCAGGTCCATATGTTCTTCCTACTGGGAACACCATGCCACCTGGAGGTCTGATTTAATGAATATACTGCATCCTGAAGGTCACACTCGCTGTGTTTGCAGATAATTACCTGCAAACTGTGCCTTTAGGAGAGCAGTCATTCCCTCCTTCTACAAGGCTGGCTTCTCGCAGATAAAGAGGGATGTGGTGAGGCAGAATGTAATAAGGCCCATGGTCAGGGCTCACTTTGGCATGGCCTTCACTGTGAACTGGGTCCCCGATCAGATGTTTTGTTGTGGGACATTCTGTGGATCAGGCATCCCATAAACCCCTGGACAGTGTTGACACAGACAGGCTCTGTGAGCAGGAAAGGCAAACCTACGCCCAGAGCAGGTGTCTGAGCCTGAAGAGGACACTGGCTGTTGCAGGCTGGGGGCCCCACACAGTCAACTTGCCACCACGGGGATGATTGGTATTCCCCAGGAGTAGTCTCTGTTGCTGGCAGGTTGGACAGAGGCAGCAGTAGCTTCACTGGCCTTGAGAACTGGGAGTCCTTCCTGTTGGGCCACGGAAGGCCCATGGTGAAGAACCTCTCTCTCTGCCACCAAGACCACAAGGTCATGTGGCCCTGTTCCAGGAGCTGGCTGACGAGGAAGAATGGCTGCCATCACCTGGCAGAGTCCTGTTGTCTACTTGTGTTTGCCTCTTCCATGGAAGCTACTGACATGCAGCACAAAACTCTTCACACGTGCTGCCCATCTCCGAATAGTCACCTACCTGTCGCTACCCCAGACCTCCACATCTCCAGTCCCCCAGTCCTGTCCCTTCCAGGCCTCTGACCAAATGGCCAGGCTCTTGGCCATTGTCCAGACATGTGTATATATTCCCACCTCAGGCCCCGTTTCCTTTCACACAAAATAGATGACCAGGTTCATGACTACAACTCTGCCCCCTGGAAAACACCTCCCCACCAGTAGCTGTAATGTAGCCTCCATTCATCTGCAGCTTCATCCACACCCCAAGCCTGCCCATCTATACACCTGGTGCAGGTTTCTCTCCCTCCTTCAGCGGGTGTACGGAACGCTGGTCTTCCTACAGTGAGAGCTGGGAAAATGGTGTTAGTTAGGGCACATGATCGTCTGGGCAACCTGTTCTTGCAGCTGACTCATGCCCTCTGGTCCTGCTCAGCTTGACCCTGGACCTCCTGTGGCTGTCTCACAATAGGCTGCTTCTGAGTCTGTCTTCGCCTTGGCAGGTTCAATGAGACCCAGCTCAGTGGGAAATTTTAGATGAATGGTCACTTGGTGTCCTATGGTCCAGTCTTCCTTTACTATCAAAGTCAAGTAACTTACCAGGAACTGCTTCTCAAAAGCTATAGAATTCTCTTTTGCAGATGTCAGGCCTTGCTTCAGATCCCCATAGACCGTCAGTGTGATTCTTTCCCTGGGGCTTGCCACACACTCATATCTTGTCTTACCGCGGACACCAAACACCAACACCGAAGCATCTGCCTGACCATAGGGCCCAAGAGGCAGGGCCGCTTACGACACGGCCCGGCCCTCCTGCAAAACCCTTCCTGCTGTGGCCCTCAGAGCAGGCAGCCTGTCTTCCATGTTGCTCAGCGCCCAGAGCGGAGCAGTTTCTACATGTGGTATGTGTTACTTCCAGAATCCAAGAGACCTACCAGGTGCCCTGGTTCCCTTTGTGTCTTGGAGGCCACCAGATGCACAGTTTGCCCCTTACTTGGAGGGGATGTCCTGGGCGGGCGTGGCCTTGACGTGAACGTGACGGCGGAGCTGAGGTCACCGCAGCTGGAGCAGGCTGCCTTGTGGGGTGCTCCGACTTCTCAGGGAGCTTTGCAAAGTGCTTGCCACGTGAAAGTAATAGTGAAATGCAAGAAACGATGAAGCTGTGCAAGGAAAGGAAGAGAGAGTTAAGCTTTGTCTGGAATGCAATCAGTGTCTGAAGAACCCAACGAGGGCTTTGAGGAGTGCTGTTAAGGGTGCTGGGACTGCGTCTCTTGGCAAGGACAGAGCATCCCCCGTGTCACTCAGAAGAAAGCCTTCTCTATTTCTGGCTGTCATTTCAAGTCCCTTTCCAGGGCCCTTGGACCCACTCCTTCCCCAGTTAGAACTGGCATGCCTTGTATGCCTGCTGATTGGGTCCGTTTTCTGTCCTTCGGCTGCTTCGCTGAGCAGCTGTTGACTCCTTCCTGGCGCTTCCCACGTGCTGTGTGCCTCCCCTCTTTATTCACCGCGCCAGAAAAAGAGGAGCTCGTCAATGCTCACAACTGTGACCATCTCACTACTGACACTCCCAAATATATTTGATGTTCCCTTGCCACCCCCAAGTTGTGCTATTTCCAATACTGAGCTGCCTCAGGCTCTTCGTATCTTCAGAATAGAGCATTCGACCTTCAGCGTCTGATGAGAGATGAGCTTGTCATCTTGCCTTCCCAGGTCGCAGGGACCTCTTTTCCAGGAGGTGTCCTCTGTCTCAGTCAGACATGGACTCCCTCGCTCTTCCCCTCTATAGGGTGCCTCCTAACCCAAGATCACTCATTTAGAGATGTCTAGAAGGATGCTCCTTCCACTTAAGCCACAAAGCTGAACAATATGCCCATGACTGCCCCCGCCCGAATGGTTTCAACCACAGCAGCCCACAAAACCACTCTGTCCTCTGAACTCTTAGGACTTTTGACACTCACCTGCTACTTGTAGTCATCCCCCATGTATTTATATTGTCTTTTTTCTCTCCTGCCTCTTTAGTGATGTTCATACCCTGAAGAGCAAGGTCTGAGCCTTATTTCTCTGTCTCCAAACCTAACTCACTAATCATATACACACGTGCCTATGTGCACATATACTCACACATTTTATGGTTTGTTTCAGGTGCCGGGTCTTCAGTACAGACACTCTGTGCCCTCAAGCTTACGGCCTCTCTTAAGCCTCCCTTCCATGTCACTTACTTTCTCGTGGTGATACTTTCCCGAAACGCTGTGAGCCTCCTTGTTGGACACATGCTGTGTGTGTGGAGCCCTGCCCACTAGGAAGAGCAGGCACACGGCCACAAGGGACGAGTCATGGGCAGAAACCAAAGCACTGCCCTTGAGGCTGAAATAAGGCCCAGCTGGTGTTTACGTTGGAATTAGACTGGCTCTAAATTAGACTGCGGGATCGCCTAGTTGTACAAGATCAGCTAGCAGGTGTGCAGCAATTCCGCAAAATTCCGGTACCGTGAAGCTAATGCCTGGAACACAAAAGCAAGCCTAAAATGAAGGAGACTAGAAAGGGATAAGGAGAAAGCTACACAGGACGTGAGCCAGCTGAAGTGGAGGGTGAGGAAGAGGCAGAGGAGATGAAACTTAACGGGTTTTACCGAAGCCAAAGGAGATACGTGCGCACAAATATCGAATCCACCGCTGCCTCTAGCAAGACAAGAACTGAAGACACGCCATTATATGTCCACGAGGGTGCTCCGACGGCTACGCCAGCTCCACTGCGCCAGAGCGGACAGGCCAGGTCGAGCGGCAGAGGGATGAGTGGCGGGGTGAACCCTCAGACGTACATACCCCCCCAGGGAGGTGTGCAGGTTTGACGGCAGAGCCAGAGGACTCGAGGTGAAAGCTGTACCCGGAAACGAGGGCTATTTTCTCACGGGGGACACAGGAGCGTGTCCGATGGATGGAAGAACAGAAATGACAGCATATTCAATGGAGGGGAGGAGGGGACCCAGAACTTGGAGAGGAAAAGGACGTCGTTCCCTCCGGGTTGGAGTGGGTGGGAGGGAAGGGAAACGGGAGCTAATGTCGTGAAGAGAGGAGAGAGAACACGTGGCCCGTGTGCTGGCCCCTTGTCTCTCCGAGGGCGGAGACAAGGCCTCTGCTCAGGAGGAAGGAGCTGGGGCTGGGAGGAACCTGGGGACAGTCCCAGGCAACTGCGAGTCACCTGGAAAGAGACTGTGATGCCACGTGGAGGGATGGCTCTGACGTCTGCAGCCATCATTTGCAATGGCACCTAGTAAATGATGTGATTTTCTCCAGAACAGGTGTCCTAGGAGTGGGGGATGAGAAATGGTGCCTTGGGGTCGGGGATTGGCCAAACACCCCAGGAGGTCACCGTGAAGAGGACAGTGTAGGAGAAATGACTCCTAGGGCCTTTGAGCAGGGCAGGGCCAGGAGGACAGGGAGGGCATCAAAGGAAAGGACACTTTGATAAGAGTCGAGGGTTTGTTTCATGGGACAGTGTTGTCAGAGTGAGGTTGTCAAGGTCCACTTCCCGAGTTGGTTTACAGAAGGGGTCAACCGTTACCATTGAACCTGAACCCTGACATCAAGGTGAGGTCCAGTCTGTGTCTGAGGATTTTAACATAGATGTCATGACGTTGAGCAAACCTCGACATCAGGATGAAGCTGCCTGAACAATGGCAGGGGACAGTGTGTGGGGGGAGGGCAATAAACCATTAGTCCTGGATGAACACAGGGGAGTGACCCGAGAAGAAGGCAACAAGATTGGCCCCTATGACTTAGTGACTAGTGCGAGTCTCAAAAGCAGGCGCCACCGAACAATGGCTGTCAGCAGAGGGAGAGAGGCAGCGATTACTTACAGGCGGACCTCGGTTCACTGTGTTTCACTTCACCGTGCTTCACAGATGTTGCGGGTTTTTTTTACAAATTAAAGGTAAGACCCTCCCCCAGCAAAAAGATTACAACTTGTGCCTTGGCCCGTTTGGAACAGTAGTGTGTCCGCCCGTGGACCAAAACGTCGCAGGTTTGATCCCAGTCAAGGGCATGAACCTCGGTTGCGGTTCAGTCCCCAGCTCTAGTCTAGTCGGGTTGTGCAGGAGGCAACCGATCAATGCATCCCTCTCACATCGATGTTTCTCTCTCTCTCTCTCTCTCTCTCTCTCTCTCTCTGTTCCCCACTTCCTCCCACTCTATCTGAAAATAAATGGAAAAATATCCCCGTGTGAGGGTTTTTAAAAAAGAAAAAAGATTGCAACTTGCTTTATTGTGGCACTCGCTTTACTGCAGTGGTCTGGAACCGAGCCCGCAACATCACCGAGGTGTGCCTGAACTTGTGGACTCATTAAATTTCAGTTCTAGACCAGCATTACCCAACCGCCTACCAAACGTCTCTGGGACATTATTTCTCGATGACCATCTCCTAAACCAACCTACCTTCCCAGCCTTTGTAATTTACTCTTTTTCCTCCATTTCTTTAATGCTAGGCAGTAGCGTTACCATTCGTCCACGCAGCTATTATGGAAAAGCAGAATTCATCTTCACCACCCCTTCTTGCTCCCCACCCAGAGGGCTTCCTCCCCATCTGACAGCTCTCACCCCTGTTCCAAAGCAGGAGGGTAAGAGAGAATCGCCTCTAGAGCCCGACAGACCTGGGTTTGAATCCCTGCTCAACCATTCCTGCCTTGAATGATCTTGGGCACATGAATGCCCTACACCTTATTTTTCTTCTCCTGGAAAATGTTTCTTTTTCTTTTTCTTTTTTTGGTACATGCCCCTAGCGGGAACCGAACCCAGGACTCTCTGGTCCATAGGCCAATACTCCAACCACTGAGCAAAACCAGCCAAGGCATGGAAAATGTTTCTAATACTAATACTAACTGCATGGGTTAATATGAGATTTCAATGAATCGATGCATGTAAAGAGCTGAGCACAGAAGCTGGCACACAGTGATGCCTTCAACATTTTGCAAACCGTTCATTTTGGAATTCTCTTCCTCTGCTGACCTCATGTTATCTGCAAATCATGTGACCATATTTCTTAATTTCTGTATTTATTACAGACAAGTTTCTTAACTATTTTGAATGTTTTGTTACAAAGGTGCAAGTAATACTCATTTCGACATATAATAAGTGACTCTCCAGTTCTCAGAGTTGGTTTACATCGCGGTCAAGGTGAGGTCCAGGCTGTGGACACACTTGGAATCACATCCTTTAAACAGTAAACACTGGCAGGTTAGCTTTTCATCATTTGTAAATTTCTTATTTAAAATTCTCCATAAGTAAGTCTAATATGTAAAATAAAGTTATTAATAAATTTTAAACACACCTCCATTAAAAAAAAGATTAAAATCTAAGTAAAACATCCTCACCACTAGAGAGTCACGCTCAGAACGGCTTACCTTCGGTTACAAGGTTGTCTAGGATGGCCGTCTCTAATAGCTGGGTTTGAAGGGAGGAAAAGAAACTGCTAGAGCGCTTGTTGGCCCCTGGGCTTTAATGGCCTCCCCCACCCCACCTGTCAAACCAACATTCACATTCTCTTCTTACTAATCCCTTCTTAAAGCTAAATTCAACTCCCCCTTATCCAGGGCAAAGGTTCAGAGGGAGAGGGAAAATCAGGACATTACTAGCCCTGACTAGTAAAGGCAACATTATCCCGGTGCCTACTCTCTGCCATCCATCATTCTTAGCACTTCCTCCCACTTCCCTTCCCCGTCTTCTCCAACCGTCGCCATTGAACCCGAACCCTGACATCAATAATCACATCAGTGCGGAGGGGGAAACATTCCATTGTGGTGGCAGCAGGAAAATGGGCGCATGGCTTGTTATTTTGCCAAGAATTGTTCAGTGAGGTACCAAGCATTCAACACTAATTTTTTTCCATGAAGAGAGTCGATGGCAGAGTCAGGTTACAATTAAGATTATTTGAAAAGTAAAAGCGGATAGCTGGTGGTGGATTCTCTCTTTTAATGAAAGTTCCTTCCAAGGACGACATTATTAGAGAGAGCAAGAGGGAAAGATTAAGAGATAAATGTCCATATCTTGTGTCCTCCCCAAATTTCCATATTCTACCCAGATGTGTGGGCACCACGATCCCGTGCCCGTCCACCACAGAAGGACTAGACATCTTTTACAGAAGCCAGAAACTTGCTCTGTGCTACATATTCCAGAAAAGTCATCATTTGCGTGAGAGCTCATTAGGAAAAGTAAAAAAAATTATTCAATGTTTCCATACTTGCTAACAAAAATGTACTCCTTAAATGTTCCTATATGGATCCAACACATATGACTAGGTCCAAAAAAACGATCAAGGGACAAAGGATACTCTGTGAAGAAAGCCAATTTTAAGAGAAAAAAAACAAATGCTGTCTTAGCAACCACACTGTTACTCCTATGAAACAGAACCCCCAACTAGATGGACGTGTGCCGGTCTCTGCTAGCTGCTGATCCTCGTGTATCCCATAGCGGAGAAGCAGTTATGGTTCAGCTGCAAAGTCCGGGGCCCTCCTTTTCCCAGTGGCCTAAATCAATGCCCAGCCCAGGGCGAGGTGCTGAGCAAGATGCGGAATTATTTCAGGCCACTGGGGTAAGCACTATCCCTGGCAGCTCTGCAGGCCGCACCACACATGAGGGTTTCCAATTCTCTTTGGTGATTTGGTTCTGTGTAAACTGAGATTTTTCTTTCAACGTTTCAGCCAGATAAGCAGGAAAGGCCCGCTCCGGTCCTGAGACGGAGGCAATCAAGGTCAATTTCAGTTCCTTTTCTGTGCAGTTTAGTCTACTTCTCCCTGCTGCCTTCCCTGACACCTGTCCTTGTATTTTTATCTGATTATCAAATACCTAGGAGAGAAACTCTGGCAGCCTCTGGTGCTCACTCGGTCATCCAAAAGCCTCTTAGCCTAAGGACTAGGTTGAATACTCCGCAAAGTGTGTCTGTGAGAGGCCAACCTCAGACCCTCGGCTATGAACCACAGAGAAGTGTCTCCCGGGGGCATATTAAGGGTGAAGTTGAGACCAATGCCTGCCCTCACCAAAGACAACATGCTTGACTAATTCAACTTGCCTGTTACCACATCTCTAAGTCCTGGCTTTGCACTGCACTGACAGTATACTCAGTTGTCATCTAACAGGGAAAGGGAAAGGCAACGCTTGTCACTTCCATAGGAAAAGCGGTAAAACCAAGTGTAAAAGTTTAAAATAGTTGTCAAAAGTGAATTCAACAAAGCAGTGTTGTAGCTGGAAGGATCAGCTGACACCTGTCCCCAGTTTTGTAGGTCACAGACTCTGTAAGTTTAGAGCAGTGTTTTACTTACCATATACCTCCTTGAAAGCTTCTGTTTACTTTCGCTCACTGGGGATACCAGCGGAGAGGTACCAGGTGTATATTCCAGACACTTAACCAATATACACAGACTGAGCCATCCACCTGCTGGGTACACAGCTCCAGGCTGAAGAATTTCTAAGGCTGTTAGAACAAAGGAGGCTTTACGGAGAGTGGGCTCTGATGTACAAGGAAATAGCCTATACCCCTGCCAAGACAGGTTGAAAACAGCCTCTCCATTATTGCAAATAAAAAACTAACCAATTGATGCTGTGCTTTTTCAAACTTCGTTGCTTTCCCCCTGCATCTTCATTAAATAAACGCAAACACAGGTGCTTTGAAATGGGTGGGTGTAGAAGAACATCCTGCACAATTATATCTAGGCTGCCACCGATTTATATCACAGGCTTACTTACATATATCTGGGGGATATAAAGTCATGGTGACAGCTGAGCATGACAAATGCAACAGAACACAAGTTGGAATGCCGAAAAAATGCAATTACAAACGCGCCACACACACACACACACACACACACACACACACACACACACACACACACGAGTTTTCCCTCTACACACACGTGGCCGCACTTAGAGGCGCTTAACCACCTTGATAAACCCCAAGCACAAACCCAGGAGGTTCCGCCGCGCCACAGCTGTCTCCACGCATGCAGCCGCGCCTTCTTCTCCAGGTGGGGATGGTCGCGCGTCCCTGGGGACACTCGCCCTCCCACCGCATCCACTTGCGCGAGCACACGCGCGTCCCGCGCCCACCTCGGGAGAAGCGACGGCCCCGGGGCTGGGGGCAGGGCCCGGTGGGGCGGGAGCGCCGCGGGGCTGGGCCTCGGCGCCCGGGGAGGGGAAAGGGGCGGGCATGGGGCGGTGCCCGGCTCACGTGGGCGGGCGGGAGCAGCTGAAGGTCCGCTCCGGAGCCGGGGCTGTCCTCTCGCGCGCGGCGCTGGCCAGGGCGGTGGCAGCGAAGGAGGAGGAGGAGGAGGAGGAGGAGGAGGAGGAAGGCGGCGGTGGCGGCGGCGAAAGAAGAGGGGAGGACGGGGGCGGCGTCGGACTGGAGCCGAGCGGCGGTGCGAGCTGCCCGGGGCGCTGTCGTGCGCTCGCCCGCCGGGCCCCCACCCCCAAGCTACACCCTGCCGTGCCCAGCTCTGCACGCGTCCGTGCCCCCGCGGGGAGCGCGCCGGGGCTGCCCCCCGAATGACGGGCGGAAGGTTCGACTTCGACGATGGCGGCACCTACTGCGGCGGCTGGGAGGAGGGCAAGGCGCACGGGCATGGCATCTGCACGGGGCCCAAGGGCCAGGGCGAGTACTCGGGCTCCTGGTCGCACGGCTTCGAGGTGGTCGGAGGCTACACCTGGCCCAGCGGCAACACCTACCAGGGCTACTGGGCGCAGGGCAAGCGGCACGGGCTGGGGGTGGAGACGAAGGGCAAGTGGATGTACCGGGGGGAGTGGTCACATGGTTTCAAGGGGCGCTACGGGGTCCGGCAGAGCCTGTGCACCCCCGCTCGCTACGAGGGTACCTGGAGTAACGGGCTGCAGGACGGGTACGGCGTGGAGACCTACGGGGACGGAGGTGAGCGGCGTCGCAGGCGGCTCGGCCAGCTGGTGCGGTGGGCTTAGCGGTGGCTGCGGGGCAGCTGGGTGGGGGACGCGAGGCGCACGTGTCCGGAAACCCGCCAAAACACCTGGGGCAGCCTCCCACCCACCTCCCGCGCCCGCCCTCCCCCACGGGGTGCGTCGGGACGCAACTGGTGCACAGGGGGTTGATCTGACCCGGTTCTGGGCGCGGGCGCTGTGTCCACGCCCGGGCAGCCAGGCGTGAATACACCTGGCCAGCGCCAGCGCAGCGCTGCCACCGGGAGGAAGCGCCGCCCGGGAGGAGTGGGCTGGAGAGAGGACGCTGTCACTTGAGCCCGTCACATTACGTTCCTGATCCCTCCCTCTCACGGCCGGGTTTGAAGTCGCCACTCCCTGGGAGTTAGAGCGAGCGCCCTGGGCTTGCGAGGCTGGCGGTCGGTGCTGACCGCTCCCGGATTGGTTTCACGAGGAGTCGTATTTCGCTGCTGGTCCTCTAGTAGCCTAAAGATAGAAGCCAGAACCCCATAACTAAGATGTGGGGGAATGGTACCTTATTTGGGGTGCATTGGGAAACCTCCTAGTTATGGGAGTGGAGGGGCCACCTGACGCAGGTGGAGTTCATAGAGTGAGGGGCTTTGTTACTAATTTTCATTCTCTTCCTTAAAGTATTGGTGTTTGGTCAAAAGAATGGTAGTCTTTGTTGACCTGGACATATATGGACAAATTACTAGGAAACATTTCAGAAATGAACAAGAAACTCTACTTTTTAAAAAATACAATCGAGAAATATAGTCCATATAGTTAAGTTAGCAGCTGCTTTGCTCCTGAGAATGACAGTGCCCAAAACTGATTTGCACGAAGGTGTGTGACCTAAACAGTATGCTGGTGAACAAAATAAGGTGACCAGAACTCACCTTATTTTAATATGTAACAATATTTGCAAAAGAGATTATCTAGTTGCATAGACTTTTTCTTTTCAATTAGGAACAGTATACATTTTTGAAACAGGTGTTAGAACCTGATGAATTTCCTTGTGTAGTAAGCTGAGAAGGATCAGTGGGTTATACTTTGGTAAAATACATTTTCTGATGATAAACATAATCATAGTTCTTTGAAAAGGTTTGTGGGAGGCGATGTCCCTTTTTGAAATTACACAGCTCAGAGTGGGAGGATATTAAAGGGATCCAATTAAAAGTTTCTCCAGTCCAGTGCAACCCCAGTTACGCCACTGCCTATATAAAAGCTTATACAATTTGTACACTTCACTTACTCAGAACACAGGCCATGTTTCAAATGCAAAACGGCAGAATGGTAGGATTTGCTTTAAAATGACATTTTTAAGTCCTAAATAAAGGATATGGTTCTTGTGAATTAAAGGGAAGAAGAAAAAAAACTTTCTTGAATACTTTATATGGGCCGCTTGAATCCCAGGTTCCACAGTAGTTAATTAGGGCTCTTAAATGTTTTGAATGGGCACAGGGTGCCTTGGTTGGCAGCCCCATCAATATGTTAGCTTGTGATTGGATTTTCCTGGAGGCC